TCCAAGGGTTTGTGGATCGCTCCCCTTTTGCTGCAAAAATACATTCCACACTTTGGGGCCGTGGGTTCGCTATAAGATGACGGTAAAATGTCACTATTCAGTCAAAAAAGGTTACCCCAAGCGACGATAATAGATTCTGTTGACCAGCTACCTTCTCTCTATTCTATCATTTCAAAATTAAGGACGGCTGTGCACAGATGACCCTCGTATAGCTTTATACAAAATTTCTAAACAAACGCTCGTAACCGAAACATTACAAGTCATGAAAAACTTATATTTAATAATAAAGCTTCCGAACTTGAGAATGTACTAAAATTAACTAAGTCATAACATACCTTGAAGTAACATAGCACTGTTATAACAAATGGTATAAAACACTTCCTAAAAATAATACATTTAAATACTGGTCAAAACAGCAACGTTGAAGATTCATTCTATAAACGTGATAAATATCTAAGGAAAGCCACTTTTAATGCTTATGGATAAATTATAAATAAAAAAATATTAATTAATTGTAAAAAGTCAATACCTAGTAAACATGCCATCACTTTAATCGATTAATCCTCAAACAGTTAGCAAAAAAAACCTTTTTCTGCAAAATTTAGATCGTATATGCGTACTAACTGACTTGAGAAGTACCGTTATAGGGTTATAAGTACAAATGTAAAAATTTGGGTATTAATTCAAAGAGTTAATCAGCGAAACAAGTTGTTGTATGCTATGTTTTTAACCTAAGCGTTTCTAAAAAATTATATTGTTCTTTAACCAGAAGAATGTTTAATATAACGTACTGAGCGTCCAGAAGAACGTTTACTATAACGTGCTGAGCGTCCAGAAGAACGTTTAATATAACGTACTGAGCGTCCAGAAGAACGTTTATTATAACGTGCTGAGCGTCCAGAAAAACGTTTACTATAACGTGCTGAGCATCCAGAAGAACGTTTAATATAACGTGCTGAGCATCCAGAAGAACGTTTACTATAACGTACTGAGCGTCCAGAAGAACGTTTAATATAACGTGCTGAGCATCCAGAAGAACGTTTGATATAACGTGCTGAGCGTCCAGAAGAACGTTTACTATAACGTGCTGAGCATCCAGAAGAACGTTTACTATAACGTGCTGAGCATCCAGAAGAACGTTTAATATAACGTGCTGAGCATCCAGAAGAACGTTTAATATAATGTGCTGAGCATCCAGAAGAACGTTTAATATAACATGCTAAGCGTGTTATTAATATAGAGATTTCCAAAGTTTAATAATAGTTTGAAAAGTATGAAATGCAAGTTAGGTTAGGGTAGAATTATAACTGATTACTGAACTAGTTACTTAGTCAATGGAGTTAATGAATTATTGAGTGTGAATAAGTCTGTAACATGTATATGATACTGTAAGATACTTTGTTCAGTTTTGTAAAATTTGAGTTGGTGTTTACGACGCAGTAATATAACTACGATAAATACCGTATGTAATAGCAAAATTAGTACGTTGGTAGAATTAATAATTAATACTATTATTACTTCCGACCAAACAAAGTTAGCTATTTAGGCCTATCTCTCACTGAATGTTACGTTAGTTACGTAATTCTAAAAACGTATGGTTGAAAATAAACAAGAATGTATAAAAATATGTCAATCATATTATATCTACAATATATGTGCAACTTGTAATTTAAACAATTATAATGCATTCGTTATTATTAAATGGACTTTGCATTCTACTCTTTACCAAGTAATCTAAAATAACCAGCTCAATAACGTATATTATTACAATTATATGTCTATATACATACTTATTGGAAAGGGTGGTAAAACTAAATTATTAAATTTTCGTTATCTTTACCTCCTTATGCAAATTTAAAATCCACCGGACGAAGTATTTACAAATATCAACGTCTTGTGTACGAGACTTTCTGTTTGCTTCAAAATAACGTACGATCAATGTAACTAATAATCAATTTTTCATTTAACTCAGCTTTCTAATTAAATTAACGAGTTGAAAACAATAACGGAATGATTTATTATCCAGTAACGTTTAGTGTTTTAGTTCATACCTTATCAAAGATTTGTAAGTTGGCCGGATGTTGTGAAACAAGCTAAAAATGCTACCAACTGTAACTGATTAATCAATGGAATTTAATGTCTAAATGGCCCGGCATGACCAGGTGGTTAGAGCGCTTGACTCGCAATCTGAGGGTTTCGGGTTCGAATCCCCGTCACACCAAACATGCTCGCCCTTTCAGCCGTGGGAGCGTCATAAAGTGACGGTCAATCCCACTATTCGTTGGTAAAAGAGTAGCCCAAGAGTTGGTGGTGGGTGGTGATGACTAGCTGCCTTCCCTCTAGTCTTACTCTGCTAAATTAGGGACGGCTAGCACAGATAGCCCTCGTGTAGCTTTGCGCGAAATTTAAAACAAACAAACATACTGAAATAGTTTCTAAACTTTTACGTGTGGTGTCGTTTTTACCAGATATTTATGACGTACTTAAACTTTTGTAGCTCATATTAATAATAACTGACAACTTTGAAATGTTATATTTACAAGAGTATTTCTTATTGATAGTTTTCACGATTTATAAGCATAATGACAGTTATTTTACGCAACGAACATGCTACATATTTCAACAGGACATTACTATGTCTTCTTCAAGTACTTATAAATCGTTGTTTGTTCATTCACTATTGTACTAGTATAATATGCTTACGTACAAAGTATACCTTTCATGTTGATAATTTAAGTTACTAAAAACGATATTAGTTCCAACTATACCTTCAGAGAGAAATGTATACAATTTCATGTCATAAACACTGTAATTTATCATGAATTGATTTTTCTCTGTCAGAACATAAACCGAAACACAACAACAACAATGAATCTGCCATTACACAATATTAATTTCTTCCGAAAGTTGTGAAACACGATTATTTCGTGATTGGTGAAGTACGAACCGAGTTATTCGTGTAATATGATAACAACATAGAATAAATATCATAATAAAACGAAAGGCAGCTCGTGTTAATATTTGATGAATTTGAGCGGACCGTTGTTCATCGCAGAAAGTAGTTAAAGGCAAAATAGCGTCGTACACGTAGGTGGAAAAGCTGCCTCAGGGACCACCTATTGATCCAACTCAGTCCCAACTCATGAAAAAAAAGTCCACTTAGAAGATGCATAAATTTAATACATTTTGAGCTCGGGGGGCCTGACTGATGACAATCAGTTCCAACTAGTATAAGCGCACTTATATGATAAACAAAGCTACGATTTTTTAGAACTCAGGGGCTCATCTGATACAGGACTGACGCGAAAACAGTTGAGGCTCCCTACAAGTCAAAACTAGCAATTCCCATACCCATTGAAAAATACCTTGTCTTAAAAACTATTGAAAGGACTAGCGGAGCTATTGCTTAAACAATAATGAGGACAAAAAAAATGTATTTCAATGCTGTGATTGGTATATCTGCAGCACGGAAAGCCCAGAAGTGAGATTCTTTCTATTCTGTGTTTTATGTGCTTATTGAAGTACTTATAAGCTATTAGAAAGTAAATTTTTCACTGTTCAGTTGTATTGTTTGCTTAATTGGTCGGTGTTGTTTAATAGAATATCACTGTTGACCGTATATTTTTTCGCAGTAAGGATGAGCTAAGGGACCAAAATATTCTTGCCCCAAAGCATTTATAAGCATCTGAGCCAAAACATTTCTATGAGCACTATGTTGTACTACTTCTATGAGATTTCAAGAACGAAAGTGTGCTCAATTATGAGTATTTTCTAATCTGAATAAAAATGCATTTACTTTTTTTTTACAAAAACACTGTGATGTGCCTTAAGATATTTTTTTGCCTTTTTTTTTGTTTCGAAGATTTATCCACAACTACGATATAGACGTGACAACTAAACCGCACTGTTTATTTTTGTTGTACAGCCATCAATATTATATCGATAAACATATACATTAAAATTTATTTATGCAATATTAGTATAACAATCTGCTAAATATGTATATATA